CCAAATTAATGTAGTAGAAAGAGTTATTTTAATGTTTTGAACTTAAGAGTCTCTGAGATTTCAAAGGAAATTCTCACAGAGATGAGTAATTTTATCACAAGAATAGAGGAAGCTTTCAGGCTTAACAAGATCTGCCCTCAACAAAATCCCAGCTAAGAATAATTATGAAAACTCACTTATTTTAGATAATTATATTCATGAATTATATTTAGCAATCCACCTGTATTTTTAGCTAAGAAACCCATCCATGCCATGAAATCTTGCATTATTACATTTGCCTTGCCTTGTGTAATTATTTATTTCACATATTTTGTTTTCCCGTTTTTGACAGACCTCATGGAAAGAGTTTATTTAAGGTAGCATAGTGCCTAAGGCACTTGACTGCTAATCAGGAGGCTGGTGGTTAAACCCCATCACCAACTCCTCGGAAGGAAGGTTGGGCAATCTACTTCTGTAGTGATACAGCCTTGGAAACCCAAGGAGAGGTCGCTATGAGTTGGGTCCGACTCGAAGGTGCATAACAACAACAGCAACAATTAGGTAAGCAAAATGCTCCTTAGAAGCAAGGATGATGAGACTTCATCTTGGGTACCTTGGACATGTTATTAGCAGTGACCAATCCCTAGAGAATGACATCATTCTTGGTAAAGTAGAGGGTCAGTGAAAAAGAGGAAGAAATTCAACAAGCTGTATTGACATATTGGCTGCATCAGTGAGCCAAATACAGCAAGGATTGTGAGGAGGACTCTGCGCTAGTCAATGTTGCATTCTGTCGTACACGGTGTCGCTATAAGTTGAAACTGACTTAATTGCACCTAACAACAGCAACAATTAGATAGCATTATTCTGTTAATTTCTAGACTAGAAGTCTACAATCTCCTCTCCATGGTAAATAATCATCTAAATATTTTCAATTCCCCCTGTCTCCCCTTCTTGTCTGAAATTTCCCTGAGTATTTAATAAAACATTGAATAAGTAGGTTTTATGCTGTTCACTATTAAAAATTCTATATTGTTATGAAATATATATGTAGAAAGAAGCAAGAATCCAAAAATCTAACTTTCATATCTGTCACCTGAGAGGAGTTGGCAGGGGTCTACATGTCCCTCATCATGAATCCTCAGGTCCTTGGTAGACCAGCCCAGCTGGTGTGTTTCAGAATACGAACAGAAGTTTTATCAACCTGCAGCTCCCTATAGGACTTTTGTCCCCAGGTCATTAAAATCAACATGTTGGCAGCTGCACATTGCAAATTGTTTCCTTTGGAAATTTTCTATCAATTGCTTACCAGGTTTAGCACCAAACACTGACCCAAGAGTCAGAAGACATGATTCTGAGGCCCCTGTGTACCTTGTCCTTTAGGGAAGAAATAATCTTCTCTGAACATCAGTTTATCCATCTCCCATGGGGCCAATTCCTTTCCTAAACACCTTGTAAGTCTTGCTGAGGATTACCATCAAAGTGAAATAATGTAGATTAACACCCTTGAAAAATGGGGACTGTTTGCACTATATATTTTGCCATAATTTAGAACAGTACCTGACATATTATGGGTATGCAGTTAATAGTTATTTAATTTTTAGTTTTTAAAATTTAATGTAACTTTTAATGTTCATTCCCAAGTAAATGTTTCATTGTTTGTTGTAGAGGGAAAAATGATGACTTCAAGTTTTTTCATATATGAATTTGAAAACTAAGGAAAAATCCCTAATTACTCCTTTTCAGGGTATGGCATGTCCAATGTTTAAGGGGAGTAGAATCAATCATATATTGATGGATTTTAATTTTTTTAATTGTATGAAGTATAGCATACCTAGGAGCTCTGGTAGCATAGTGCCTAAGGCACTTGACTGCTAACCAGAAGGCTGG